GTGATTTTTTTTTTTATGTGTTTGTTTTGCTTCCTGGAGACGAGATGAGACGAGGATTTCGAAATTTGAACACCAAATAGAGTCGAGTCGGTTTCTTTTAGAGAGAGAGAGAGTAATTAAGAGGGGAGAGAGAGAGGGAGTGGGTTTCTCTCTCTCACAGCTTCAGACAAAAGCAAATAACAATCCCTTCTTTTTTCACTTTTTCCCATTTCTCTTTGTATTACAATTATTTTAAATTATAATTTCTTTTTTGTTTCTTTTACTCTTCTTCTTTAGTCGATTGAAGATATTTGTCAATTACCACTAAACTATTTTTACTTTAACTATTCTTTAGTATTACTTACCTATAAAAATAATGTATGTCTATTGGTATGACTCTAAGGAAGTGCTGGGAGACGAGCCCAGGTTCGATATCAATAATTTGAGAATGTTAAGTTTCATGTTAAATTTGGAGGTTTTGTGATGTTGGAGAATGGAAAATTTTTGTTTGGGGCAAGAATGTGTAGCCTGCGATTGGATATTTTGTGCTTGAGAAACAGGAATCTGATATTGGATTAACTATTTCAACCCTTTTACAATATTGTATTTTATTTTTTAAATTAAAAGGAAAAAAGATGGTGGGCAACCCCAGTTGAGGAATCCAAGAGTTTTAAGTCCATGCCCAAACATGGGTTTGGTTTCACCATATTCCTAACCCCTCCTCCCAAATAAAAATAAAAACACTTTTTACTTTACTCAAATTAATTTTATTATATTAAAAAAATCAATTTTTTATTTATTATTTCATAAGCTGAGTGTAATCTACCTATATTTCTTTATTCTTGAGTCTAATTTTTTACATGGTACGTATCAAATTTAAATAAAATCAAAGCCTTTGAGAATCTCATTCTCATTCCCTATGCTCCCAACCTTTTTTTATTAAAGAAAATTAGAATTTTTAGAATGAGTGAACAATTGACTGTATTAAAAATGGCCGGAGCATCAAAATTGCAAAAATGATTTAATTGATTTCTATCCACCATTGATTTGGAGGACGCGACATCCGGATGGGTACTTAGAGTGTTCTTCAGAGGTACCTACAAAACAGGTAGGCCACTCCGACACCCAAATCAGTTAGGAATCAGAGCTTAACAGATCAATGGCGTCAATCCAATTTATATAACTTATTGAAAGACTCGATTCAAAAATGTTCCATACCCTCACTAGCACTATACTCATTCTCATTCGATAGGAATTTGATTAGACAGATTTTTCGTACATGGGCATGAGATGTGGTGGTGTATTTATAGCGGTCAATGGGGTAGATGGTTGTCCCATCGGGTATTCTCCTGTTCGAGTTGGGTCCCCCTGAACACCTATGATCCTCACTACTGTGTTAGGTGAGATCTAGCGTCTGGCTTCCCCGCTAAATGACCAACGCCAACCTGTTAGATCGACTTCTTCGATTTTTCACGAACAGGTCGGGTGTCTACAATTTGATCCCCAACACGAGTAGCTTTCTAGAAATGTATTTGCGAGTGATATAGTTACATCTATTTTTTCAAAATCAGACATCCTAATGTCACTGCCAAACTAGGTGTCTATTCACCATTACATTTTGTTAAATCCATCTAAACTAATATATATATATATATTTCATTTTGTTTGATAGGTTATAAAAGATTTTGATTTTCCTTTTTTTTTCCTTACCCAATATGTTTGATTTTACCTTTCAAAATAACTTTTTTATTCGTTCTCCTAGATTCTAAGAGATTTGATTTGTACACTGTCTCTCTCCTTATCTTACTTTTTCCAATTTTTTCACTCTTATTTGTTAAGATAGGGTACTTTATATTCCTTTTCTGTTCTTTCGTTTACGAGAGAAATTTGATTGTTTTCTATATTAATTTAATTTTTTTTGTTAATAAATTTTAATTTTTAAATTTGATTTTATTCTAGGGCATATATTGCTTAGGTGGGTGGAATCACTAATCCCATGGAGGAAATTTGGTTAAAAGTAAATATTTCTCAATCTAATATGTTTACTAATTGAGTATAGTTTAGTAATAAGGTATATTGCTTTTATGTTCTATAATTCACTTTGTAAGATATAGGACCAAATCTTAACAAATATAGATACTGTTGGAGGTGGAGACGCCGATTGTCAGAGGCTGAGCTTTCCCACACGAGAAAAAGAGAAGGCACCGAGCTAACAGGTCGGGAAGAGAACCTTGGACTGCGAAAGCGAGCCCCAACGTCGACTTCATGAAGGTAACAGATCTAGTCACCAGTATGGCCACGGTACTTGGCATGTCACCTAACTCTAGAACAATGAACTAAGACTGATGGGACATAAAACTACCCATTAGCCCACTATAAATGCATCCACATTTCACCCAATCAGGTATGAGAATCTGTCTGAAGCCGATCTGCCTAACTCAGATTCTAAACTAACTTGAGTGTTTGAGTGATCTACCTGTATTTGCAGGTCTCCTTGAGTAGTTCGCTTCAAACCAGCTCGAGGCGACCTGTGTTGGGTCGCCTTGCAGGACTTAGGCAAATTTTGGCATCAATAGTTGGCGTCGTCTGTGGGAAACGTCATCATCACCAGATCGCTCTACGCCTCG